TGTGTTGCTTGGCAAACAAGTTACCAAAGTCTAACATAGTACTAATTAAGACCATCTGAAAGAGAAACTATGAAAACATGACTCAAAACATTGAACTGAATAAGATAGAACATACGAGAGATTGAGAAAACCAAGTATTTATTTATTTAAGCATATAAAATGTTGTTGTTAAAAAAAAAAAAAGCATATAAAATGTTCTTAGACTATACTATATCAGAAGACCAAAGGAATCGAAAAGGTTAAGATCTCTATTACAGCATCAACTTAAGATTTATTTATGATAGATAATATTACGTATTTGGATGCTGCACAGTCTTGATTGTTATATTGACTAAACTATCTCGAAAGGGAGGAAATTCTCTTGCCAATTGCCATCTTTGTCCACATACCTTTCATAGAACATTCCTTTTTTTTATTGGGTTTCACCTCCATTGCTATTGTACTCATTGCCCTAAACTGATCTTCCTTATCCGGAATCCAGCTACAGCCAGCTATGTCGAAATCAGCCTTGGCTGGATCAAAGACAAATTCCTTAGCCATCTTCTCCAATGGCAGGACTTGTTCTTTTTTGTAATCACGAATCATCTTACTAAAAAGACTTTTCATACATATATCCTGCATAAATATTTAAAACAAAATAAAAATCAATAGTTTGATCTTAGGAAGAAAAAAAAAAAACACTTGGAAATCAATATTTCTTGTAGAAAATTATACCTTGAACGATCCGGAATCGAATCTGGATTGAGAAGAAAGGGTATGGACTCCAAAGTCAACTTTTTTCTTCTCAGCATATTTTGTTTTTGTTGTATCCTTTTTGTAGATATGAACCATTGATTTTGCGTTAATGTCTGCCACAATAATGTCGTATATCACCCCCTTGTTCATCGTTTCTCCATAATTACTTTCTTGACACATATGGTTTGCATACTCGTCAAGACTCAATTTGTTCTGTAAACAAGATAAACACACTCACCAAAATATATTATAGACTTTAAACAAGAAAAGAATAGAAAAGAGGAAAATTAAATGTATCTAACCTGCAAGAAAACAATAGGAGGCACCATGAGAGAGACAAAATTGTCAGAGAACAAGAAAAGCAACTTTGCCTTCTCTTGAAATACCAAACCATGTCCCAAACTCGTTCTCAGTCAAACCGCTCAGTATCTTGTTGTATTTATCCCAAGCCGCCGGTTTTGTTTCACTTTAAATCACTCACAACATAGACAAAATTATACATCAACCAACTATGCATAAACATAATGATTTAAAAACCCTATAAAAGGTAGGTATGAATGAATTATAAAACTTGCCTTGAGTCACATTTCTCTCTGTTTTTGCAGCAGTGTGAGTTGGTTTTCTCCCCATTCAAATGCTACTATTCCCATTTTTTCTTTTTCTATTTGATTGATTCTCTCTGTTCTGATGATGTTTATTGTGTTTCTTTGTGACCCTTTCTTTTTATAGTTGAAGTTTCTCTTCTGCTTTCTCTTAACGCGCTTAGCAACTTTTTTTTTACCAGTTTAGTCTTTCGTGTAATCACTAACTCTACGTATATTATTCTCTGTTGGGTAACAATGCGTCATGTGTTTGTTAAGCACTTAAGAAAACTTTCTTTACTTTCTGAAAATATACACAAGTGGTTTATAGTGAGTGTCACACAAGTTTATGACTCAAATCCAGTGAGCGGTCTATGTTGTGCCAATGTCACAAGAAAACTTGGAAAAGAGTGGTTAAGTCTTGTTCAGGGAGTAAAAAAAGTGTGTGTTTAGACCAAAGAGAAACAAAAGTGGAATGTGATAAACTTGCTCATTAGTATGTGTGGTCTTAATTAGTGCTTTTGAGTTTTGTCAGAGTAATAATGTTCACGGTTCTTAATCAATTACTTTAATTTTGTTCAGTGTAATTAAATTATTAACCCAAAAACCCATTAACTGAATTTGAATAGATGACGAACAAGGCCAATTAAGTAATAGGAAAGGAGAAGAAATACCAACTAGTATTTCTCTTTTTCTTCTTTATTGAACCACCATGATATTTTCCTAGACTAGATAGATGTATTATCGACCAAGGAAATAAGTTTCCATGAATTAACAAGGTTGAGATCCTAAAACAGAAAATTAATTTGCTTTTGTTGTTTCTTGTCATTGTCACTCTACTCATATCCTCTTCGATTATGTAATTATGAGTCATGTGCGCATGTTAAACACTTAATGGATATTTTAACTTACAGAAAAGTGATTTCTAGTGGAACACAAGTTTAAGACCGACTCGTCTATGATCGTCTTTTTTTTTGTCAGCTTCGACTAGATAATACGTAAAACATATATATAGTACAAAGAAGTTTATTTAAATTAAATTCTATTTGATAAAGTATGGTTAATCGATCAATGTTGAGTCATGTGGAATCAAAACAACTGTATAATTAGGTAGGTTTTTAACATCTTGTAAAATATCTCTAGTTAAAATATTTCGAATTATGTTCTTGCTTTTTCTTAATTTTTGCCAAAATTGTCTATAGGTTGTTTACTTTTCTTAATTTTTGGTGTTCTTATTAGTTATTATTAGTCACGCATTTTAGAAATATGTGTTCTTTCTAAAAATATACAAATGTGGTTTCTAGTGGCACACAAGTTTAAGACTCAAATATATGATATATGATATATCCGATGATTGTATTGATCTAATATTTGTGCCCAAACAAAAATAATATTATTTTGATTCCGATGTCTCAAACTAAATAAAAAAAAAAACAAAGAATATTCAAATTCCACAAATCGGATTGGGCACTTTCAATACGTCATCGACCTAACTTTATTGGTTTAACAATGGATGGCACCAATAGAAACGCTACATTTCCCGATCTAAATCACAATTAAA